CGAGAAAATTTCGCGCTCAAGTATAGTTAGCGTCGCCTCGCGCGTCGCTTGCATGTTGCGCTAGGAGACGGAAATCGGCCGACGAAAAGCGGGGAGCACTAACGTGGACGGCGTCTTTCACTTGCAATCAGCCAACTGTTGGCGTCGTTTCAACAACACGATAAAAGGCCCAGTGACAGCTGGCAGGCTGTAACCAGTGTCGTTTAGCTCAAGTGTAAACACACGCCCGTACGCACGCCCATACACAAACACACACTTTCGCTGTCTCTCTGACTCGCCCACGTCCATGAAATAACCATGAGATCGACCAAACGCTTTCAAGCATTTGAGTGCACTGACATAGCCGCTAACCTTTCTTTTGTAGCTACCTTGGCACTGGCTTGATGTAGCCTCGCGCGAGCGCATCTTTTGTTTCTTTCTTGCCACGCGAAACTTCTCAACCATGGCCTATGTAGCCTACGCTACAAAAACAGCCAGGCACGTTTCAGCACAAGATAACCTTAGGCTCTTGAAGCGGTTTGCTGAATTTCACCTTCTTCAGCTAAAATAAAGGGGTCACCTAAATAAAGAGCATCTTGTTGATGATTACTTGAACACATGACTTCCACTAATATAGAGGAGTTAGAACCTCCTAGAGCACATCGTTTTTCTGAAATGTTTATGAGAACTACGTGGAACACCTAGTATTAGGCGCGAGGACATACCGTGGCGCCATTATGCGGAGGCATCCTTGTGACATACATGGTTGGATTGCTCCACTGCCTTCTCGCGTGCAGTCCGCAGCCGCTTTCGCGTCTTCTTTTATTATTATCATTGCACTTCACTCAACTAAATCAGTAAAATACTGTTTCAGCTTCTTTCCTGACTGTACGAAGTGCTAAGTAACTGCTCCTTGAAAAGTGTTAGCTTCTCTCAACGCCTGACTGCCGGCGTCGTCTGCTATGGCCACCTAAATGAAACAACCATGGCGGCCAAGCGCGCCGCCTCTGGGAAGCTGACGACTCATTCCGTGTCGAATTGAAATATAAAATGGGTATTAACGGTAAAGACACTTTTCTTTGCTGCGAAAAATGAGTGCAACCTACGCTACTTTATTCATTGTATATAGGTTTGCATCTAAAGACGACCCGTGGTTAACATGACTAGCATGCGCAAATTAAATGTTTAGCACACATAACCCTACGAAGCACAGCACAAGTGGATTCCCCGCTTTGTGGGAAGCAACACAGCATTCTTACAGCCGCAACCTTTCGGTTATTATTGTGGGCAAATGTGATAATCAGGCACGCGCGTGCCTCATTCAGAGTTGTAATTTTTCTCTGTTGCACGCTCCTAATATTTATTGTACAAAATTTCTACGGTGGTCACGCGTTGCACATTCGATCGCCATCTAGCCCCACACGGGTGAAAATTATGAATGATTGGTTTAGTTCCAGAGCTTCTACAAAGGGGTAAATTGTTATTAAGAAAACCATATCATTTTACGCCTTTGAGCATGCCGCGAGGTCTTGCCCACTGTGATCTAAACGGCAATTTTATATTTCAGTAAAACTGCCTGTGTCCTTTTTTCGAAATTCTGCTCATTACTACAGTGATGATGCGTTAAAGTGCAAACAGTATATATGTGCTAGAAGCATGCGACTGTCATGTAGAATAGCTGATTTCGAATATGCATACTGATATCTTTGTGCACGTGTTTTCGCCATACGTGCTCATGCACGCACTGCGCGCACATTGGGAAAGAGAAGTGCTGCTGCTGTCTCGAAATTCGGCAGATTAGCGACCGCCACAGCGTGCTTCACGTAGTAGGTCTGAAGGATTTACTTTTAACTGCAGCGGCTCATTTTGCAGCCGTCTTCTGATCCCGAGGAAACTTGTGAAAAGTGACCTCATCGCAACCGTAAGGGCTGCGGCAGCCATATGCCGCGCAGTAACTCGGCATCGCGAGTCCGCTTCCACCTTGCACAAACACTAGTGTCAATGTCGGATGGCAAAAATCTCTAATCAGAAGAAGAGAACGGTGCAGTGGCAAAAAAGTCCCACGAATTAGCAGAATTGATCCTTTGCCAGGCAACAGATTGTTTCAGAAACAAGACACAAACACGAGGTAAACAAGCTGAGCTGACTGGGCGACGCTAGAGTTTTTTCCAGTGACTCTAGGCGACGCAGGCGGCCCGGTGCGAAATTGCCCGCCGGGCGGGGGCTCGACCCTGACGGTGACGTCACCTCCCCTTGTGTCTATCTCTCCCGTGCTCCGCCCCTGCTCGCGCGCGTGCTGGGGAAAGTTTGCTTGCGTATAGCGCCGCTGTTTAATCGAACCTCGCGAAAAAACGTGCGTGCACAAGTTGTAAGAGGTTGCGGATACCGAATTCGCTATAAATTTGTGAATTCAAAACCTTTTCAGTGTCGCTTTAAGCGTTCTCAATGCTCGATTTTCTATTTAAAGCCACAACCTGAAAATATTTAAAATTCAGTCTGTACTCCTTTAATAATTAATATTCATACAAATGCAACAGTCTGTCAATTGATGTGATAACTCTTGTAGGCTTTTTCTATGTTGAAAGGCGAGAAAAGTCTGTGTTAAAAGCAGGGTTACAGTAATTTTATTTTTGTAGAGGGAAGGGGGGCATCTTTTCGATCTAAAGTGGAAGCCAGGCACGTCATTTTGTGCTATGTATGGATTGCGAAACAATTTTTTTTGGGGGGGGGGGGGGGGTATGAGCTTGGGGTGCCACCTCCTTGCTTAAAAGTGATAAAGTAGGCCAAATGAAATTTGGAACATACAACCCAATTGCTGCTTTGTATTATAGAAAGAAAAAAGGGGGGGGGGGGGCTTGTTTTTCTTTCTTGTTAGACACAATATTAATGAGAACTAACAGACAACAATGCCTAGGAAAGTACAGGGGATGTTATTAGAATGGGTGTCATAAGGGGATGTTATTCTTAATTGTGATGTAAAGGAAGAAAAGTGAACGAAAAGATACCGTAACTTGCCTTTGGCAGGGACCACACCTGTGACCTTCGAATAACGCATCTGATGCTCAACCAACTGAACTAACATGGTGGCTATCCCCCATCCACTTAATTAAGGTATATATATGTGTGTTAAACCGTGGGAGCGTCGGTAAGCACCACCAGTTAAGACTTCGAAGGAAATTGGGGCGCCGAGTCTGCCCTTTATGTTTACTCAGTGGGACTTGTCATTGTTTAGGACAGTGTTATGGCCACATAGGTTTTTGACGATCCAAAGGCTCTTGACTTAGCATTCCAACTTTACACCCTGAAAGCCGAGGACTTATGGCGGACTATTGTGGGACACACATCATCGCTTCATTTTTTCCTTTGCATCATTTGCTAAGCTCTACCAATTGGAAGGGATAAATTGGCTCCCTCTAATGCCCATTGGAGATTGTCTTGCATGCCTATGGTTACAGTCGAGAAGAAAAAGAGAGAAGTGGCTATGTCGCTAGTGAGCTAATAAGCAGTCAGTTTTGGAAGCTATGTGAGCTTGGTATGTATTAGCGAAACTACTGCATTGACCTGCTGAATAGTCCGCTGTAAGTTTTTAGGGGTAGAAACTTGTTTCCAGGGCCATTTTCAAAGAAACTAAAGATTATGAGCTTTGAGACTGGCATTTTGTGAAGTTGTTCTAGCTCTGCCTGGGCACAGCAGCAAAATGCTGGCCTTGGAAAGTTTTATGTTGGCATTTATGGCATATGCTCAAGAAGGCAGCTATTTCAACACATTTCATGTCATAACTGGGCTTCATTAGAAGTAACAGTGGCTATTGCTGCCGTATAATGTCATGCTGTAACACAGCTCAGCGTTAGCTCGAAGGAGAGATGATAAGGAGTTAATTGCAGGCACTCTTTTAATGACACATTATCATATCATTTTTTTTTTCTGTTATATATAAATGATATCGTCACTGACCTTTTTGTTCACATTAGGTTGTACGCCGACGACTGTGTCTTATATGAAAAGATCACCTCAGTTGACGATCAAATTAAACTAAATCGGAACTTTCTAAAAGTAATTTCGTGGTGTGACAAATGGCAGATGCCTGTTAATTTCGCTAAAACAGTTTTTATGAGAATTACCCTTAAAAAAGACCTTCTTTTGTTCCAGTACTCCACCAACAATACAATTCTGTCAGAAGTAACTCAATACAAGTACCTTGGTCTCTGGATTACAAAAAATCTATCCTGGTCAAAGCACATAGATTTTGTAGTAGCTAAATCTCTCCGTAAACTTTTTTTTCTAAGGCGTTCTTTAAGATCAACCACACCAAGCATTCGTCTCCTCGCTTACAATGCCATTATCCGTCCTATACTGGAGTATGCTGTGGTCATATAGGACCCATTCACTCAGACTGATATCCAAAAACTTGAAAGGGTGCAAAAAAAGGTTGTTAGGTTCATTTATAACTCGTACGGTCCTACTTCAATTACAGAACTTCTCTTGAAAAGCAAATTTCCAAACATTCCGGACCAAAATAGAATATTGCGCTTAAAATTTCTTTTCCAGTTAATAAAGGTCACTATGCAGTTGACACATCACATATCGTTCACTTTTCGTTGGGTTACGGAACAAGACAGAGACACAATCTTACTATCTCTCCATTGATGCAACGAACAAATTGTTTCAAATATTCTTTTTTTCCGAGGACTATCGTGGATTGGAACAATCTACATAACGATGTTGTTTCCCTAAATACATTGTCTGCATTTGAAGAGTCACTGCAGAAATGATTGTTATCTATGTTTGTACCTTGCTTTTTGTTGATTCTCTTGTCTCGAAGAATCACTGCAGCTATCAGTTACATAAGTTTGTATTACATTTGTTTTTGATTGTTTGCCTGTTTCCACTGATGTTTATGTTTATGTTTTGTACCACCCCTGCTATGATCTTGTAAAAGATCGCAGTATCAATAAATAAATAAAATAAATAAATAAATAAATAAATAAATGCAGGCATGTTAGCATTTTTTCCTAGTGCAGGCTGGAGCCCATGGTGGAGCTGATAAAGAAAGATCGCACAACAGTGGTGTGCCCGATCATTGACGTAATTGATGACAAGACTCTTCAGTACTTGGGTACCAGCTCGGACTTCTACCAGATTGGTGGCTTCAACTGGAAGGGCGAATTCATCTGGATAAACACACCCGAGGCCTGGAGGAAGGCACGCAAGAGCAAGGCAGACCCCATGCGTTCGCCCACTATGGCTGGCGGTCTGTTCGCCATTGACCGCAAGTACTTCTGGGAGAGTGGCTCCTATGACCAGGAGATGGAAGGCTGGGGAGGCGAGAACCTGGAGATGTCATTCCGTGTGAGTTGAAAGCAAGAAGTGGATGACGATAGTATTTCCTTTAAATAACTAACTGAGATGTTGGAATGACATTGTAGGGCACTCTTTTGCATTTGTTCAGCACTGGAGCCAATGTTTTGCACATTCTCATCATTTTGTGACTCATCACTGGGCTTACCCCGAATACACAGGGCTTGCAAAATTCAAGAATGATACCCCGTGGTATGATTAAGTTGTCTAAAACACAGCATCCTAAGCTTGTTCATAGGTTGCATAGCTCCTATGTTTCCTTGAGACACTAAACCCTGCAGAGTGAATCGAACTGTGTTGAAAATACTTTATTCAAGTAAACAAAGTTGCAGGAGACCTAGGAAGAAAAGCTGGCCAAACTGCTTCAGAGTTTCTTCTCCACCCTACGCACACATCAGCATAACACAGGTTGCAACAAAAATAAATTAACAAATAAATAACAAATGAGTAAAGTTTGCAGGAATGAAGCATACTTGATATAATACTCGCTTACAACAAAAGCATTTTTGATAATCATCAGAATGATGTAACCGTTTGTCTCATATTTGAATATAGTAATGATGGTTTTTCATGAAACACCCTCAAATAATTCAGTGTCCTCAGCTGCTAAGTTTTCAGAAAACTAAGTGCTTTGATGAAATAGATGTTAGCATTGCTGCACACAAATCTTGATTTATTGTGAGTGACCGCTTGTCCACAGATCTGGATGTGCGGTGGCTCTTTGGTGATAGCTCCATGCTCTCATGTGGGCCACATTTTCCGTGACTACCACCCTTACAAATTCCCAAGCAATAAGGACACACACGGCATCAACACTGCCCGGCTCGCTGAAGTGTGGATGGACAACTACAAGTACTACTTCTATCAAAACCGTCCAGAGCTCAGGGTAAGCATAATGATGCTTTTGATTGATCGGAACGGTTTTGCACAAGCACATGGAGACAAAGAAGAGAAGTACACGGCCTTGCAAGGAGTGCACATGCATGCCTTGTTTTAGTAGCACCACCGTCAAATGTAGGCATTGCAACCAAACTGTGAGAGAGGTTGTGGAAGCGTTTTACATCGACAAGCAGAAAAAAGTGCTTAAGCCACCCATCAGTTTCCTTGCTTGAAATAAAAATTTCGCTCGTATCTTCTGTTCACTGAGTATGTGGTCACAAGTTCTGCCATGTGCTCTGCTCATGATTTTTTTTTTCGACCAGATCGCACTGATCTGAGCCTTTTAAATAAGATTAGCGAGAAAAAATATCTGCCCGTCCACCTGTTTCTTTTCTTTGTCTCTGTGTGCTTGCGCTAAACTGTGAGGATGAATATGGGCTGAATTGCAGTTCTGCTTTTGCTTCAGTTCAGAAATTGTGTGACAAATGCTGATTGTATTAGGGAAAAGTAAGTGACTTTTTAATAAAACTCTCTGTTTAGTGTGCGCATTATTAAGCAGCCTCTGAAATTCACGTAAATCTCGTATTGTGTAAGGTTGACCAAATCCTGAAAATATCAAGAAGTGCTGGTGGCATTTACTATTGGGAGTTCTCAGTTTCCATGTAAATACGTTATCAATTAGCACCAGTTTTAATTGCAGTGCACGTCTATACTGAAATAATAGTGCAACGAGTATTAGTCGAGGAAGGAGAAGAGGGGAAAGACGGATGCAGCCTACAGACACCGTCATTACCCAATGATCAACCTCGCCCTGTAAATAAACATACTAATTCAACCGTACCCGTAACAATATCAAGTAATAATCCAAGTAGTCCCTTCATTCCTGCTTATTGTGTATAGCATGCAGCTGTCTAACCTGGCATACTCTATGTCATCAAATACTGCAAAAAGGTTTCTATGGATCTAACAGAAAGGGGAATCTACTGGCAAACTAAAATGAGCCTTTACTTTTGCTAATGCTTCAGAAGTGGATCTGGAATTTATTATGCTTGATGAAAATGACGTTTATTATAGTAGACTGGCAGAACTCGTCGTGTAGTTGCTTTTTGTACTTTCTCTGTTACTCTGCAGATATGTAGAGAAGAAGTGTAAATTTAAGGGCTCGTTTTTTCTGTTAGGCATAACATTGTGACGTCCACGAGCAGGGTTTATTGAGACGCGACGCAGCGGTAGCTTCAGCGGCCTAGAGTCCGAACCGAGACTGTCGCAATCGCAAGGCTTGTCCTCTTCACCTCCCCTTAACCGTAGACCCACTACACACAGGTGCGCTTACTCAAACTACAATTGTAACAATATTAATTTATTTATACTTTATACTTATACCCACAGCGCCCTCTGGGGGCATTGTTGTAGGGGGTTTACAAATTCAAAGTACATTTAAATTAGTGGGGACAAGTTCAATTGCATGGCACTCAAAAAATAAAAACAAATCAAAAATACCTAGATCACAGCATACAATATCATTGTGTGACCACATACTCCTTTAAAAGGGAAGGAAACCCTGTGGAAGTGGTGGTCACAATGTTTTTTGGAAGACTGTTCCATTCGTGAATAGTTTTAGGAAAAAAAGTATTCGCATACGTTGATGTTCGGCACATATATTCACACACTTTCAAAGGATGATCCCGTCGTGATGAGATGTATGCTGGTGGTCTGATGTATTTGTTTTTATCGATCCCAGCTTTGTCATTTATTAGGTTGTAGAAAAGACATAGCCTGATATATTTACGCCTTGAGGAGAGTAACGGCCAATCAGGTGAACTAACAATTTCGCTAGACCTTCTGGTTAAGTCGTAATCACCCGTCACAAACCGGGCGGCACGTTTCTGAATGCGCTCCAATGCATCAATATTTAACTTTGTGGCCGGGTCCCAGGCAGTGCAAGCATATTCGAAAATCGGGCGTACTTTTGACACGTAAAGAACTTGTTTAAAAACGGAGGGGGCGGTTCTGAAATTGCGGCGTAGGAAGTTCAGCATGCGACTGGCTTTAACTGATACCATGCGAACATGATCATTCCACGATAGTGTGCTGTTGATAACATTGCCAAGATACTTGTATTCACTTACCATGGATAATGGTATCCTTTCCATTAAGTAATTTGTGATAAAAGGCTGCTTTTTCCTGGTAAACCTAACGACACAGCACTTTGACACGTTAAGCTGCATTTTCCACGTACTGCACCATGCTACTACGGAGTCAAGGTCTTTCTGCAGTGAGAACTAACAGACAATAATGCCAAGGAAAGTACAGTATAGACCGCTTGTAACGTAAGTCATGGGAGTCACAAATATCCGCACTATAAGCGGTACAGCACTATAACGATGACAACCTTTTTCAAGGGCCGCACTTGTGTAAAACGTGTTGAGCATGCAGCTTCGCATGTCTGAGAATCGAAGCATGCGATGCGGGCTTGCTAACATTTAAATTTCTGACTGTTAAAAAAAGCTAACATTAAGAAAACGCGAGGGGAGAGTCTAACAAATGAAAGCACCATCGCGGGAATTCGTCGACTACCAGACCGCCTCTATTATGTGCATTACACAGAATCTCTGTTGAATCCAGCCAGAGTTTGACGCGTTGAAAGACGCCAACCATTCGATTTCATGGGCGCACACGTACCCTATTTAACACATCGCAATCGAATTGCGAACCACTATTTGAGTACTACACGTGCCACCCTCGTTTTCATTTAACCATATGTATTCTTTCCCGTAAAGTGCGGCCACCGCAAAGAGTTTCGTAGATTCGGTGCCAAACCGCAACTTAGATTCACGCGACCGCTACCAATCGAAGCCTAGTTTGCTGTTTGGTATGTTGTCGCGGAAAGCTTGTCCAAAACGGGACGATTTGGCGTTAAAAAGTTCGCACTAGAAGTGAACCAACAACCACGTGCGTAATACGGGTTCGCGGCCGGGAGATCAGCAACGACAGTCGACAACTCGCCACACTTACGTACATACGACAGCGCAATAAACGTCGTGACAGCGCACTGGCAGCGAAAGTGAAAGCTCGCGTCATAAAACCGCAAAAAGTTTTCAATTTGTGGACGAGGAAGCAAACGCGATATTTGTTGCAAGCGTGATAACGACAACGTCTTTCCTGACAGGAAACTTTTAAGCGCATATGCAGTTGATAAGGACGGGATCGCACGTGCCACGTTGAGCGGCGCATGGCCGAAGCTGCGCTAGCAACGTATTACGCTGTAGCCGCGTCGGCACCGGTGCAAAGGCTTATCGTTCACCGAGGCAACCGTCCTCCTCCCTTACTCGGCAAGCCCGCGCAGTGTCCTGCGGTCTCTCTCTCACTCTTTTTTTTTTTCATTTTCTATTTCTTCTCTCCGCCGTTCATTCGTTCGCTCCGTGACCCCTCCTCCTCCGTAACGACCTCGTCGTTCACTCCCAAGCGGCGCACCCAGCGCTACCCGCTGCAGCGTTTGTCACAAATAATTTCCGGCAACCGCATTATAACCGGTCTTTCATCTTGGGGGAGAGAAGTGCTTATAAGAGGGAAAAGAAGAGAAAAGTGAGCTCCATAACTGTCTGCATCAGGGTGCGACACCTCAACAGTAGCTTACGAGGGATGGGGGTGAGGTGGGATTAAAAGGATAGGATTAAAGGTATAGAGAGAGAGAGATGCACTGGGACAGCGAGCGAGGACATGTGAGGTATAGGAGAGATAAGAAAGATGGAAACACGGTCACAGGAGTCCGAGGAGGGGGCACCACTTGCGAGAGCTCTTGTCAGCGTCAGGAGATGGCGTAGGGCAAGTCCAGTAGGTCAGAGATACGCTGTCGTCAAAGATCGGCGTCAGGAGATGACGTAGGGCCTACCCAGTCGGTCAGAGCTATGCTGACGTCGGATATTGCGAGGGCACAACCGGTCGGCACGGAATCCAGCGAGCGAGTCCCTCATTTTGGGGGACTGCACAATAAACGGTATGCGTATACATTGGGTTTTAAACGGGAGTAAAATACTGCATTGTAAGCGGTTCTGCACAATAAGCGGGTACGTTATAAGTGGTCTACACTGATAGGGAATGTTATTAGATGTAATTGTAGTGTAAATGTGGAGAAATGAAAGTGGACGAAATGATAACTTGCCATGGGCATAGGGACTAAACTTGCAATCTTCGAATAACTCATCCGATGCTCTACCACTGCAATATGGTGGCGATCATCCCTCCGTCCACTTTATAGGGTGCATATGTGCATTTAAGCATGGATGGAGCAACGATCAGTGTCACTAGTAGCCACTACCGCGACTGTAGAGCACATTTTTTTTTTGCCTGTTATGGCGTCATGTAGTCCGTGATCTTATTACGAGGTTGCAGCTTTGGCATACCACCTGAGGTCATCAAGTCTGTCATAATGAGACCCCCTGCTATGAATCAAAGAAAGAAGTGTTAATTTAAGGGCTCATTTTCTTTGTTAGACACAATATCAGTGAGAACTAACAGGCAATAGTGCAAAGGAAAGTACCATAGGGAATGTTATTAAAAGCAATTATATTGTAAATATGGAGATATGAAAGTGGCAAAAAGATAACCTGTGTCCAGCAGGCAAGTAGTGGTTGTCGTTTTTCTCTACTGCTGAAGTGTGTTTGGAGGAGGAGCTTTTTCAGGCTAATACATAGGGCTTTTAGCATCTTGCATCACTTTCTATAGGCCTCCCAACGTCGACCAGACGGCGCGCACACGTTTCGCTGCCTTTCTAGGAAGAACCGGTTGCTCGTCACCCAGCTCCCGCCTTGTGACTGCGCCCTTTCAGCACGTTTTCGCACTCTGCATGTGCTCTCGTCTAGTCGCCCGGCAGGTGCAGCCCTGCCTGCGACTTGCTTTGGAGGTTTAGAAAGATTTCCGAGACGTTTTCACGGTGTAAATCTCACCGGAACCAAGAGCGATTCATCGACAACCTTTTGTTTGAGCAAGTGCCACGTGTTTGTCGTTGGTGAACAGTCTCATTTCTATGGCATTAAAAGTGTGGTGACTGCGCGAATACTATATGTATGTTACTGGTAAATCGCGCATTGGCTGCTGCAGTTGTGTCTTCTCGAAGCTGTCGGCATACCTCCACCACATTTTCAAGTGAGTTTGTGTATTGCGCTCAGATTTCGTTTGTTTAGATGTCAAGTTTGTCGTGCGGCTTCAAATTTATTAGGAGGTCAGTGTGAAAAGCCTAAACGTACGTTTCTCCTGTTTATTCGATGAAACCTTTGCAATGCACAGTGTTCAGTTTCATAAGAGTTTCACTTTTGTCGAGGTTTTCATTGGATGTTAACTTCGTATCGTAAACTCAATGCCACCTTGGATTTCTTTTACATCTACTTTAAAAACATAATGGTGCACACAAAGAAAAGGATTTGAACCCCACTTCAACCATGCATGTTTCCTGCAGTGCATGTTTCATTTCAGATAATATCCACACCTGATCACACAGAGGGTTCACTGATCTGAATGTCACTTTGGTTGTTTTGAGAGCTTGCTTGGTCTTCGTCATAGTATACGGTACCCACTAGGATCTATCATGTTTTTAGTTACGCTGAGATTTGCGCCTGATAATTGCGTCTAATGTCGCGAAACCACCGAAAAATTTATTTCCACCTTGGTTGTTTTCGAACACTTTTTTACAGCGGCAGCTGTGCATCGCCTGCAGCTCAGATGCATGCAAGGATATTTTATGTGCCATAATCATGATATCAATAGGAGGCACGCCGTGGTGTGAGACTGCAGATTAATTCCAGCCACTTGAGGTTTTTTTTAACGGGCACCTAAGTCTATTTGAAGTGTAATGGGTGACGATGACAACGGACAGAGGGTCCACATATATACCAAACTGCCACTTCCGTTTACATGGAGCATCATACCACCATACGCTTGAATTATGCAATCTCTACATGCCCTGTCTGCCATTCTTGCACCTAAATATAAACACACTTTTACTACATTTCGCTCCCGCGAAAACGCAGCTGGCGTATGCGGGAATCGAACTCACGACTTCTATCCTAGCGTCGCAACACCCAAGCCTGCTTGCTAACTTATTGGTGGGCGTTGCTTGCAAGACTTTTACGTATAATCGCTCAGCATGAATACACAGCATAAGTATGTTTACACTGAGTGGCGAGGAGGATAAGTATAGAGCCATCAGATGAATAAAACACTAGCAGGGCTCACGCTACGGTATTTTAACCGCCGCTGTCGCATTACAAACGGTTGTTGCGGAAAGCCAGTGCCAAATCCCGAAATGTACAGCGGTTGTCTGTTTGTATCAGTTTACAAATCCACTCTCTTTTCATTTGAGTCTGGCCATCATGTTTTTCGTCGTTGGTAATACTGTGCGCAATAGAAAAAAATTGCCCCCACCTCCCCGAGGGGAATCGTGAGGAAATGCAAATGCATTTCTTGCGCTGAGAGAGGTTACCATTGCCTTCTAACATTCATCTTCACCAACTTCTGCCATCACCTTGAGAGGTCAGGAAACGGTCGAGAGTGAGGAGCGAGCGAACGGGAGAGTGGGGTGCCAGCATTCTCGGCTCGACATTGGCGTTTCACAGCGTCGTCTTGAGCACGCATTTTTGGCGTTTCACAGCGTCGTCTTGAGCACGTCAGCGAACGGTCGAGAGGGAGGGGCGAGCGAATGGGAAAGCGGGGAGGAGGGAGGAAAGAGAGAGAGCGGCGAGAGGAGTGGCAGAGCACTGTACCTACCCTCTCCTATACTCTCTTGCAGCTGTCGCTATGGGAGAAAGAGTGAAAGCAGAAAGATAACATCTGCTGGCGCGATAATGTGGATGCCTGGCGTGGCCAGACTAAGAAATTAAAGATTAATCAGTCACAAGGCTGCAGAGGTATGGACGAACTGCCATAATCCCCTCTTGATGCCATCGCTCCTCGCACTGCTTGCATTGGATACGGTAGAACTGCATGGGCAGTTTTCAGCTCTTAGACATTTTTAAACGTTTGTAGCAGCTCACAATGCAGTAGGAGTGTGTGCCTGCTCAAGGAGCGGCGCCTTTAGCGCACAAAATGTAATATAAAAGCCCCACAGAACACGTTTTTCACATGCGCAATGTGAAAACAAAGCAAGCGCGAACCGTCTGAGGGACCGAAGCTCTGCCCTCTTTTCGCTAGGACAAAGGACGGCGCCGTGCAAACATGAGCCTGTGTTCGCTATGGTCATACTTTGTTGGCGGGAGATAGGACTGATGTAAAGTCAATTGAAAACTTACTTTATTATGTTAATGCATGCTTATACATTTGTTGCTTTTTGATGTTTGTAAGATGTTTCAGTTAAGTTGAAAAGCATGTATGCTGCCTTACTGTTCCTTTGTTGCTCATTTTGCAATGTGAGCTATATTTTTATTTTGTCTTTCCTCCTGCAGAAAATATCATTTGGTGACATCTCGGAGCGTAAGGCACTGCGTAATAAGCTGCAGTGCAAGTCTTTCAAGTGGTACCTGGACAATGTATACCCCAACAAGTTTGTTCCAAGCGAGAAAGTGTTTGCCTTCGGAAATGTGAGTGTACATTCTCTGCACTAGCTCTTCAATGGCCGAGGACTTGCCTTAGTGAGGCTAGCATATCTGCACCCTATTTCTCACGTGCCGTGATTGAACATTTTGCTCCTCTGCTTCATCTATTTATATTGACACACCATAATGGTAATACACCAGCACAGCCTTATCTGGTGCTCAATTTTTACTTAGTGTGACTAAGGGCTGAAGTTACATTAAATATTTGCAAATGAGACTACACGTGATGCAAATTGTATCATGCTTATTAAGGCTTAATGCATATGAATATGTAATTTAAGAAAAAAAGTTATAGAAATTTTAACTTGTAGTAGTATGTGGCTATGAGGGGAAAGTAAGAAAAAGTTTTTTGAAAATTGCCACATTACCAGGCTGGCTGTAAGAACAACTGAGATTTGCATGTGCTGAAGTTAACTACCATTTTATGCTTACCGTGATCATTTGTAATCTGGTAACAACACGTGATCTATGCTCCTTGTGAGATTTGCCCTGACCCAGGCAAACTTCTAGCCATAGCCAACTTTCCGAAGCCAACTTCACTCAAAGAACTTATGAGCTTCATCGGCTTGTGCTCGTATTTTCCCTGTTTCATCCACAACTTTGCGTCAATAATAGCCCCGTTTACGCAACTACTGACCGGTCCAGCTAATCTTTCTAACCAGACCCTAGCATGTGACGAAACCTTCCTTACACTGCGTCGCCTGTTTACGTCACCACCCATTCTGCGATCATTACGATCCAAGTGCACCCTCTGAAGTGCACATAGACGCCAGTGGCGGTGGTTCGGGAGCAGTACTCGCTCAACGAAAGCCTAGTATTCTAGAGTATTTCGTTGCATATGCTAGCCGCACACTCACGAAAGTGGAAATAAACTACTTAGTAATTGAGAAAGAATGCTTTGCAATCGTTTGGGCCTTAAGCAAGTTTATTCCTTACTTGTACGGACAGAGTTTCGATATTGTGACAGACCGCCACGCACTATGTTGGTTGGTGTTGCTAAAGGTCCTTTAGGTCACCTTGGGCGTTGCGCTCTTCGCCTACAAGATTTCAACGCTCTTGCCATCTACCACTCAGGACAAATAAATTCTGATGTGGACGCCCTCTCACAATCACTAGTGAGATCCAGCGCAAACCTGCATTCGGATGCCAATTTTCTAATCGCTCCCATTTCTGTCACGAACATGTCATCTCAACAGCAGAAAGACCAATGGATAACATGTCTCCTTAACATTCTTTCCGACTCCTCAACGTCTGCATACCCACGGGCTCTTCGCCACCAAATTACACATTTCGAGATACGGGATGTGCAACTATACCGAAGAAACTACCACATAGATGGTCGTAAATAGCTCTTAGTTACACCATGACACATGCGATCTAATGTCTATGCGTATTTTCTTGCCGACCCAAAGTATGCTCATGCTGGTGTGTTGAAAACATATCACCGGATCTACCAGTGTTACTACTGGCGTGGTATGTACACCTGTGTGCAAAAATACATTCGGCCCTGTTCATTATGCCAACGACGAAAGACATTGGCCCATTCACCCACATTACTGCAGCCTTTACTGTGTCCAGCGTGCCCTTTTGACTGTGTTGGAATTGATCTATACGGTCCACTTCTGTACACTGCGGCTGGAAATCAATGGATCATTGTCGCTGTCGACCATCTCACAAGGTACGCTGAAACAGCTCCACTACCTTCTGCTGGTGCTCGTGACGTAGCCAATTTCACCTTGCGACGCTTCGTACTGCGTCACGGTGCGCCATGCGAACTACTGAGCAATCAAGGGCGTGTCTTCTCATCCAAAGTTGTTCAAGAATCTTTCGTGTACGCCGCACGGCTCACCACACCTCTACAGCCTACCACCTGCAGACCAACAGTCTAACTGAGCGCTTCAACTGAATGCTATGAGACATGCTCGCGATGTGTGTCGATTCTGACCAATCAAACTGGGATGTCATTCTCTCTATTTTGACTTATGTGTACAACATCGCGACGCAGTCAACCACAGGTTTCTCGCCTTTCTTTTTTCTATATGGGCTTGAACCATTCTCCACCCTTGACACCATTTTGCCGTATCGTCCCGACGTCTCAGAGTTCGACCCTGTTTCTGAAATTGTGCACCACGCTGAAAAGTGTAGTCAGTTGGCCCGATTATTCACCTCTGACAAGAAAGCACTGGAAAAAGAGCGCCATGACTGAGACCAACAAGTCGAGACTTTCCCCGTAGGCTCGCTCATCAGGCATCGACTGCCCTTTCACTTCCCAAGTCTGTCCTCTAAGTTTGCCACCGAGTTTCACGGTTCTTATCACGTCGTCGAACATCGATTTCATGTCACATATGTGATCGAGCCGATCACGGCACCTACAGACAGGCGCCGCCTTGGTCCTGATACTGTCCGCTTGAGTCGCCTCTAGCCCTATCACGACGCACTCTTACTCTGGTCACCTTGACTTGCCAGGATGGCTTGTCTTTGTCGCCGGGGTATTGCAAAGAGGAAGAAGATTATGTGCCGCAGTGGGTCTCGACTTTAGCGAGAAGAGCCTAGTGCGAGCTGTTGGTGCTACTACTGTAATTTTGGACCGGTTTGGGCTGCCCGCCGTTAATGTCTGTAAACCTTCTTCTGAAGGGCTAGCTGTCGCCAATAAACCCCGTTGCATTGAAACTTTATTTATCCTGAAATTAGTCCCATTATATTTTTGTCTAAAAATGCTCAAAACATAGTTAATTAGTTATTGGTTATGTATATGCTTGCATGTTAAGCAAGTAAAATAAAAATTTCTTTGTGAACATGACATGTCAAATGGCTCGTGGAAGATTGTCTGCAGCAATACTCAGTGCACTGAAGCTAAATGAGCACTGGCTGTCCACTTGGGAAGTGTGTGCACATCACATTTCAAGCCTGTTGTGGTGACGCACATTGCATGACCAGCCTCTACAGTTGGTGTGTACATGGCCATGAAGGGGATGAAGTACGCCTTATGTGCTGCAGCCAGTGGAGTTTTTCAAGCTCTGTATGAGTAGGGATTTAGGGGCTCAATAAATCAAATGGGAGATATATTACTATGCAGTCTTGTTTTTCTTTTTCCAGTGAGCATTTTTCAGCAGCCAACAAATGTTACAAAATTATTGCTCGGCACAACTCATGTGTGGTGACCTTTACACACAAACCAGCGCAGCCTCGGTCTCGTCACTGGTTAGCCCAGCGTGACACGGCCACTTGCTGCAACACGCTTCCAATAAGAAACAGCACCAGCGTAGCTTCACCAGAGGCTTGCATCACCACTGGTGACTGTAAGACCCAAGCTGCCAAGCTCAGTTTATTTTTCACTTCTCTAACCGTTTGAGCGCTACGTCGGCATGCTTGCCCGGCTGCTGCTACTATCACGTTAAGAAACGTCGCTATGTTTCATGTTGGGATGCATCCTTCTATCGATATGACATCCCACACATGTATAGAAAGCTCGTGTGTTGATGCTGAAATCAGATTGCACACGTGACGAGAATAGCTATGTACAAAGGTAGTGCCACCGGTTATGCTGATACAGTAGCATTTGTATGAAGAGCTGATACATTTCGTCAGTGGGCTGTATTTTGACGACTGCTTGTTGTTATTATTGTATTGTGAGCATTCTTTGTCTCACTGGGCCCAATGAAGAGTTAAATCTTTAAGTGAAACTTGAGGTTCTTGTATTTTTATCATAATATATATATATTTTTTTAATTTTGTTGCTTAATTTGTACTCTGTTTTGTTTTCAGGCAAGAAATCCTCATACAGGCATGTGTCTTGATTCCATGAGTCATAACTATGACAACACGGAACCACTCGGCATCTATCCCTGTCACAAGGATACAAACAGTGGTGGTAACCAGGTGGGTGTTGTCGCTTTAGTTATAATTAGGTCACGTAGGCGTATTACCATCCATCTCATTATGTAGCCAAACATAGCGATATCTGTATGATATGACCAAGGTGGATGTTGGGTAGATGAGATAAAGGACGTTTTTGGAAAGAAGCTTCTGCTGGCCACAATGTGTTGTACATGCTTTTATTGTGTGCTCACTATCTTTCCTATCATGCCAGTTCTGTTTATTATTGGCTGTATCAGCTGTGCAGAAAGAGATGGCTTACCTATTGCAATATTGAAATGATGAGACCTAAATGAAGTGGCACTGAGATTTAAAGAAAGTGGCTCAGCTTTCTTGTGAATGTTCACATGCATTCAGTGCCAGGGTTCATTTCAATTATGACCTTAGCATCAGTTGTACATCAACATCAACCTTGATCATCGTGTCATGCAAGAAATGTGAGCGTACAGGTTGTAGACAGATCTTTGAATCCATTGAAATACTTTTAAGTTGATACGCATATTTTCAAGGTCCTTGAAAATTTTGGAATTGTTTTCTTAGCTTGAAAACTGATAAATTTATTGGCATATGATGTGTAATATTGACAGTGGGAGACGCAATCTATGGTTCACAAGAAGTGCACTTGCTGTCACATGTTTACCCTGCATTCATTATGCCTCGTCTGATGATTCAGTTCATTTCCACACCTGTCGGTACACCTCCACCCACTTTTTCTCTCGACTTATCTTTTGGTCGCTTGACTCCATCTACAGAATTTGTGGTACATTTGTCTTCCCTATCCCTGTCATGCGAGCTGTGCAGAAAGTGAAGCTACCAATTATCATCAGATATCCTGTAGCCCTATGAATATCCAGTGTCCTTATGCAGTCTGAGCTTAACAAAAATGTGCTTTAAAACTTGGATACCAAGTGGTTAAATAGACAATTTCCATGTAGGAAAAGTAGCACTTTTGCTGGTAGGGTAAAGCAATGAATGCAATAACACGAAATTGGAATGCCACATAAAGAATGACGAGCGGCTAGATTTCTTGCATTGCACCGCTGAAGCACAAAGGAAGGCACTCAAAAAGACTGCACAGCCATGCACAGAACACGCACGAACAAACTGTTGCAGTTATTAAGTTTTTGTGTTTAAGCGACGTGTTGAAAGTGTAGACTATGCAAAACCTGACACTCTCAGATATTTCTTTTTTTTTTAACCCTAGTGCATGGAGGGACCCTTCTGCGTCTCCTGCCATAGTGTATCGATCCTGACAGTGACTCGCATTCATTTGAGGGCTATTTTCAAATTGAAAGAAAATGTAGGAATTTTCGTGTTACAGAGAACACGTTCAAGCTCACCTGAGCGGTAAATGGCTTATAAAAGTAGCTCGTGGTAATTACTGCAGCGAAGGCATGACGGGTGAAAAAGTTGCAACGTGGCTGCCCTCAACCCAGTGGTTGAGGGCAGCCACGTTGTCGTATGTCTCTAGCAAGGTCTCCGGGTCTTCGCACGATGACCCCCGGAAAGTTAGTGGTTCCCTGGGTTGATGCATGACGATTGCGGCCTAAGACGCTGCAGTTGTCATTGTCGTCGCAGTAGAGGTCATGGCCATTGTCTTTCGCGCCTTCTCTTGTAGAGGCCCGTACTCAGGTGGTAGACCTTGTTCCTGGTTGGTGTTGGTGTCTTCTCTGCGACGTGGGCTGGGTTCACGTCTGATTCATGAACGAAGCAGCACCTCCACCAGATGTCACGGGGTCGTGAGGTAGTTGAAGGCAGGAGACGTAATGGTCAGATCAAACTGTTTATTTGGCCGAACCTGTGCCCCCTAAACGGAAAGTCGGGTTACAGTAGCACACTTTCACTGATAGTGGCGCATGTAGCGTCGGCCGCCGGTCAACTGACAAGCGGCGAAGCGCGTAGGCATTTATACACTTGCCATTAAATATTCTAGCGTTATTGCTAGCGGTGACACAGTTTCCAGAATAATCTGTACAGTTCGTGGAGTGGGCGTGTTCTTATTGAAATTATCTACAGTCCTGAAGCTTCTCGAAGACTGCAGGCGTGGTTTGCACTGAGAATCGCATAATGTATTGGCGCAATAACAAAACTTGAGAAAAGGAACGTGGCAAGATACATATACATACATATATATATATATATATATATATATATATATATATATATATATGCACATACCCATATATATACATATGCATGAAATAAAATGAATCGAAACGATATTTTTTAGCGTGCGGAATGAAACAGGCGTCGTCTCGCTCTGCAGCGCGTGTTTTTAGCCACTAGCCGTGACAGTGCACGACCTCTGTCGTAACGGTGAGCTATTTATAATACCATTTACCACAGGCAGTGTGCCGATCTCAGGGTAATATCTACATGTTTTAAGTTTTTCTAGTGAGATGGCATGAAGGGTGCACTCGTGTACTTTGGCCTGCAGTGCGTGGTCACCCGTGCGCGCACGAGCGCGCTTATCACACAGTGTTGAGAAATATATGTCTTGGACGTTCACCAGAATGATTGCGTTTAGGTTACGGGGTGCACAAATGTCACTGAGGTTGCTGTAGTCTGCCCATTTGAGAAAAGAGTGCACTCTTTCAAATACAGCGAAGTAACAACTGTGGTAATAGTCAGCTCGCGCTCATCCTGTGTATACCTATGCGTATACGTTTCGTGCGTCCTTTGAGTTTAAGCAGTGCGTTTAGTGTTGAACTGTGACCATTGTCAGCTAGCGCTGTTCCTGCGTGTGTTCTTTTTGTGTGTTCTTTCTCCAGCATGCTGCGCCTTTCGAGCAGCATGGTTGCCGTTATTGGTGTGACATCCCAATTTATTCCTATCACAGTCATTGCTCACCTTTGTGGCAAAAATATGACTTTTCTGATTTATTTTTCTTTGTGGCCTTTGAATATACACATACATATATACACAGATCATGACAGTGATGGCAGGAACCTGCCGAAAGTGTCCATATAATTGCTATCGCAATAAGATGCACCTCTTTATACCCAACAAAACATACTGCATAGATCATCATGCATAGTTAGTTTATGCACACGAATAATGGAACTGCCAGAAGGCTTACTTGATTACAGCATTGCCTCATTAACAGTTTATATTGCTAAATTAGTTATCTAACCCATGTACTCAGTTGAACTCTTTACAAGTCTGTCTATCTGCTTTTCAATTGGAACCTAGTGAGCTGTGTAGTGCCTAAATTGCTTAATTTGTGCAAATACTGGTTCACCAACAGGTTAGGCATTGTTCATAATATACGCTGCCAAGCAATAAGCCATTCGTATGTATTCAGCTAAATGTATTGAGCATCGTCAATAAAGTGGCCGAGCTAGAGGGAACGCTGCTTACACATAAACGCACATTGTATGCTCAACGGATACCTGGTGATACTAGTATATTAGGAGCGACGAGATAGTCGCTCTGCTTATAAAATGCTCTGTAGAGACAGAAATTTCGGGAGTGATTAGGTTGCAATTATTTTCCGTAAGTCCCTATGCGTAACAAGACTGCCTGACATTCCCTGTATTTAGAGCATATTGATTAAGCTGTTATTGCTATTCATTGGAGTATTTTATTGTCCACCAAACAGTGATAGGAATTTTTTTTACACGCTGATTGAGTTTTTTATTTGCAGTGCTACCGTATTTACTCGCGTAATCCTCGCACTCGCATATTTCTCGCACCCCCCACATCGCCCAACAAAAATACGATTTTTTTTTTCCTTGAGTAATTATCGCACCCCCGAAAACTGCCGCAATAATGTCGCCTGCTCGTTAATTCGGATTTCACGGGACCGGAAAAACTGTCCGAATGAACAGAATGCCGAATTAACGAATGAACAGGGAAAACAACATTTAAAATCAAGCTGCGGAAGTATACCTTTATTTGTTGAAGTATATTGTAGTTGTCGTCTGCGTTTTCGCACAGATTCCGGCTGACATCACAATTTTTCTTAACTGTTCGAATGGCCAGCAGCACGCAAGCTGTCGGGAGTGATCAGGCAAGCGTTCTCTGATATTAACGGTGCCTCCGAGACTACCCGTGAGGTGCGATGAGGTCGCGGCTGTACCTCCTCGCATGATTCTTCGTCGGAATCGTGGTCTTCACAAGCGCCCGTGACATCATTAATAATCTCTTGATCGGTCAGGAGACCACGCGTGGCGACACCATGATCAATCACGATGTAGTCCTGAAAGGTCACATCTGTGGGAAGGACAGCATCGAAAGTCAGGCAGTCAACGTCGGTGGACTCGGCTGACACCTCCTCGATGCCATTGTCAGCTACTGCTGCATGCTCGGGCCTCACAAAACCGCTGTGCTGAAAACAGTTGGCGATGACTTGCGGAGGAGTTTTTTCCACACGTGGGCGATGATGTGCACTGCGCCGATTAAGTCCACTTGATACAACTTTGCAGCTTCTGAGCATAGGATCATTCGCTCTAGCAGGTGCTTGCGGTACTTCGACTTCACATAGTGAATGATACCCTGGTCTATCGGCTGAAGAGCAGACGTAGTGTTGGGCGGCAAAAAAACTACTTTGGTGCTCTTTAGTTCGACTGTACAGTTATGGGCGCTGCAGTTGTCAACAACCATAATTATCTTGCGGTCCTTCGACGTGAAGTGCCAGTCCAACTGCTGCAGCCAGCCGTGAAAAATGTCCGATGTCATCCATGCCTTCCTGTTCGCTGTGTACTCGACAGGAAGGCTTTTGATGTTCTTAAAACAACGTGGCTTAAGCGCCTTCCCGACGACAAGTAGTGGCAAGCGCTCCGTGCCAGTCATATTGGCGGCAAGAAGCACAGTTATCCTTTGCTTGCACTTCTTGCCGCCAATGCACGCGTCCCCTTTGAAAGTCACTATCTTGTCAGGCAGAGCTCTAAAAAATAGAGAAGTTTCATCTGCACTGACCACGTCACGTGGTCATATGCGGCGATGTGCTCCAGCAGCTTCACATTTCTCCACTCGATGGTCACGCTTTCGTCAACACTGGC